GGCGGGGGGTATTTTTGGTTTTAGTGATTTGGGGTTTTTTGGGGTTTTTTTTGTTTGTTTGTTTTTTTATACAGAAGGTTGGGAAGTGGTGTTCTAATCATTGCAATAAAATAGTTCCATGCCCTATATTTGTCATAATATTTGACTAAGGAATAGAACGGCATTTACGATTAAAATGTGTCTTTGTATAAAAATACTATGTTCAAGAATTTACTTCCATTAAAATATGCAGGGGCCGAATTTTTATTACTTTCACTTTTCTCTTTCGTGAAGAAGCTTAATGGATATCTGAATTTTTTACCCTAACAAACTGTTTAAAATTGTTCGTATTTTTAAAGGTCTGTGATATGTATCCAAATGCTAAAGGGAGTTTAATTTATCACCTGGAAAAACAAGATTTAAAAAATACACACCTATCACTAAATAAAAATATAGTTATGGGGCGGGGTTGATAAATCTGAGCCTGAAGTTTCACAAAGCATAGATTATCACATGCAAACAGAAACCAAGTATGAGAAAAGTAAAACTTTGTATTCTTTAGTTAATGAATGAACAACAATGTTAACTCATGTTACAACCATGGCCTTGCTACCAATACAACGTAAAAGTTTATCTTCCCTTAAAAACATTTGGCACTGACAAAAAAAATAAAGGAGTGTTGAATACAGAGTAAAATCTCTAACCATGGTCTCAAACAAAAGAAAACTGCACTACAGAGCAACAGTGTTATGAAGATTTAGGTGCTGACATTTAGTATTTGTTATATGTTTTCAGTTATAAGCAGGAAATGAACACATGAAAATATTTTGTTGTAGAAAAATAAGATACAGTGTTATTAAACATTGTTTTAAGTAACGTGGAAAAATAAAAGAGCAAAACATAACTGCAGTTCTACAGGCTTTTCCTATACATTATTTTTACCTTCTCTGCATTTCCCGTTGTCGTTAACAGACCCGTCAGCCAAATTTCTCAGTAAGGAAGAACATCAGATCAGAAGATGGTAATGGAGGCCTTCTGGTAGAAACAGGGCTTAGACCTAATTGCTATGATTAAGCGTTTAAAATCACACTGCCTTGACCTCCAGTAAAACCCACCTACCAGACAACTTTACTTCAGTACCTTGTCACATACGAACGGTCTCAGTACAGCACAAAGAAAAAGAAAACAAGTCCATATATGGTACCTCATCCTATTTTTCTGTCAGTCTACAAAACAGGATTAATTGTGAAAACGTATTATAACACAGAGTTCCATTTTCCAGCCATTTGTCCCCTTCACTTAGATTACACAGTGGCCACTATTGTCAACAGTATTTTTGTAGGTTTTTTTTTTTTTCCTTTCAGGGGATACCCGCCAAACAATTTTTCAATTTTTAAGGATGCATCCTAGAGGAGTGCAGGATAAAATCTCAGTAGAGGAACCTGAGCCCATGTCGATTTCTAGGAAGAGGTTTGCAACAAGTATTACAGATGTGTGGAAAAAAAAAAAAAAAAAAAAACCAAAAAAAAAACCAGACAGAACTTGCACCAGAGGTTCATCTTTTACCAGATGAGCTCAAAGAAAACAGACCGAACTTGCAAGGCACAGCTTAACCAGACTTTCTAGAATTTTTGACCGGAGCCAGACTCCTACTCACCGAGACGCGCCCCTCGCAGTTCCCGTGGATCTCTCGGTGTCCGCTCACCGTCCGGCCGCGGGAGCCAAGTCGAGAGGAGCCCCCGGATTCAAAAGGCGGGCGCCGCCGGAGCCCTGCTCGGGCCGCCTCTCCCCGTCGGTAGGCGAGTCGAACCGGGCAAGGCGCGGTCCCATCTGGGTCGCCAAAATGTTGCCTCAAAAGTAGATTCTTTACCCGGTGTGCAAACTCCAACCCGCACACGGAGACGAGAGCGCACGTTATTACAGTTCTGCGCGGGAGCTGGCAGGCCAATGCCAAGAGGACTGGCACCCCCAGGAACAGAACAGAGAGTATGCATACCCTGGGCATTGAAATGAAGTTCCGTCGTAGCTATTATCCTCGAACGGTCGGGGGCTAATCGATAACGGCTGCTTTGGCTTAGGGGTTTGATTTAATCACACTCAGGTGCAGCCAGTTTATCAGTCCAGCAATTATCACCCCAAGCACAGCCATTCTGAGTCCTCTGGAACACTCTGATCTGCCCCAAAGCAACTGCAGCATGCTGTCAGGCCTAACAGAGCTGCAGTCAGTGTGGGACTTCTCAAAAAAAAAACAGTTATAAATACCAATGATGTTAATTGCAAATCATTAAAAAAAAAAAAAAAAAAAAAAAAACCACAAACACACTAAACATACCCCAAAACTCAAATGTGTAAAGTTTACTAAATCCATCAGCTTTCACAGCACTTGGTTCGGACTCCTAAGATTCCAATACAGAGCCCAGTGATGTATTTTTCACCAGTGTCAAGAAAGAGTAATTTTGAAACCGTTTAACCACATTAAAGGAAACCTTAATCCAACTTCGAATTGTCATGAATTTGTATTTTACCTCAGAAATCCTGGATCTGCTGTGTACAGAATTACAATAATTAGAATGAAAGAAATCTTTGCTCTACCACATAATGATCTTCTTTTGTCTCAAATATTTTTAGATTACAAACTCAATTTAATTTTTAGATTAGGAGAAGAAGTTTGTAAATATAAAAAAACAAATTAAAAAAAAAAAAAAAAAAAAAAAAAAAAGTCAGTCCGTTTGTACTTTCACAAAGCGATAACCCTGTATCAAATAAAAAGACCATGGCCACTTACACGTCTAATTACATACACAGTATTGTGCGGAAAATGCCGTTGCCAGAGGTCAATGTTCCAATAGGAGACAGAGGAGTCCTGTAAAAAGCACTTTATTCGAATAAAGGCAGAGTCCACGGGCATATCCCGGTGGGGTCTCAGTTTTTCTGGGGGACGCAGCCCCCTTTTTATCCTAATTTCCTGGCCGCAAATTTCCCTCCTCTGTTCCCCACTGGCTGAGGTACTCGGAGTGTACAGACTGCCCGGTCCCCCTATTACATATCCCCCTTGACATGTACCCCCCTTCGCATCGTACATCGTGTCTCATTAACTTCATTTTATGCCTCCACTGGGAGAAGTTACTATGTGTAAGTTCATTAAACATGCGTACTAGTTCCTAAAGTTCAGAGGTTTAGGCTATGCAAACTTCTTGAGGTAGATATCTAGTTTTGTTTAAATTCACTCAAGTCCTCAGGTTCTTCTAGTTTGGTTATTTTTGTATGTAAAGTGGTCAGTCTATCACCTTGGAGCACCGGTGATTGCAGCATTCTCCACAAACTGTTCCCCACCACTCCCTGCTGTAAAGACACATTGACCCTTTATTCTATCAGTGAGATGGTGGAAAACAGCAACTGCTACTCAAGCTCATGAAGAATAAGGAAGTCCAGTGGTACTACAACCACGGCACCTCAGGATGGAGAGAAGCCATTGTGTTCCCTAGTGTTCTCAATATCCTTGTTGCATGCTACCTCAGTGGACAGTGTATGCATTACTTTGAACTAAATCTGACTGCATTTATGCTCACAGGTTCACTAGGTAAGTTCAAAGGCAAATGCCACAGATTGTACCCAAACAGCATTTCATCTTTGTTCCTGCACATGCTGGAGATAACATGTAACAGATTATAAAACAGAGACTTTTTTTTTTAAGACAAATTACTCAGTGTGACAGTCCCCACCCACACCTGAGTTTTGTGAGTGCAAGGAATCACTCTTCCCTCTTTCCAGAATA